TGGTTGTACTTACCAGGACTTAACTAGGCGCTCACCTGAAAGACTTGATCATATTTAGATCTAATAAAAAGAGGTCATTTCTAATATTTTCTAATCAAGTCTTTTTAGGTCTACCTGTACCTTTCTTAATATAGGTTAAATCTAATTCATCTACTCTCCTAATTGGGTCATCGGAAGGTCGTCATTTTATGTGACCAAACCATCTAAGGTGACTCTCTCTAATCTAATCTACCACTAGAGCTACTCCAACCATTTCACGTATATGCTCATTTCTTGTCCTCTTTCTAAGAGTAAAGCCACTCATCCACCTTAGCAACTTTGCAACACTTAACATAATATTATGCTTCTCTTTTAATGGCCAACATTCTGCGTCATAAAGCATTGTAGCTAGGTCTAGCCACCATCATATAATTTTTTTCCTTAAGTTTGAGTGATATTTTTCTATATATCACACAAAAAGCCCGATGAATTCCTCCACTTCATTCATTCAATTTGAATTTTTCTAATAATATCCTCATCTATTTCATCATCGCTCTTAACAATAGACCTTAAGATATCTAAAACTTGTACTTTTATTAATGACTTGATTGTTCATAGTCACAAACCACCACTATATCAATTACTATAATTACACTCTATGTACTCGATTTTAGATCTACTCAAATGAAAACCTTTAGACTCTAAGGTTGACCTCCATATTTCAAGTTTACCTATAACTCCCTATTTAGTCTTATCAACAAGAAGAATATTGTCAGCAAAAATCATGCACATAGGAACATCCTCTTCCAAATCTCTAATAAGAACATCCATGACTAAAGCAAAAAAGATATGGACTTAAGATTGATCATTGATGTAATCCAAATGAAATTGAAAAATACATGATTAGGTGAATCTTATTTCCCACATAACATTAGCTTCCTCATCCACCGACAAAATCTTAAGATCGTGAATCTTACTTTCAAATATATTTTTGTAAGAGTTCTTTAAATGTCATCATATAATCCTGGAACAACGATATATTATATTTTCATACTCTATCCCTTCATCTTAAAGTCCAAAACTAATAAGCAATGTTTGGTATATAAACTTTTACTCGGAATAACTTTAACTCTGCAATCTAAATGATCTATTTTTTTTACAAGAAAATAATCAATATAAGTTTTACTATATCCATTCTTATAAGTGATGAGATGCTCATCTCTTTTCTTAGATAATGTATTATGAATAACAAAATCATAAGCAATAATAAAATGTAATATAGTCTTACCATCTTCATTAGTTGCTCCAAACCTATATCCATGATGAATGTTTTTAAAATTCTCTACAGCTCTACCAATATGTCCATTTAAATCTCCCACAATAAAAACTCTTTCTTAAGAGGTATATTTTGTATTAATTCTTCTAGGTCATTTTAAAATTTTAATTTTAAGCACATATCAAAATATACTTGAGCAGCATAATTACTTAAAATATTAATAATCTTATCATCAACAATAATCTTCAAAGCTATAATTTTATCTCCAACTCTATCAATTTTTATAACATTATCTTTCAAATTTTTATCTAAAATCACACATATACCATTTCTAGTATGACTCATATTAGAATTTCAAAGTTTAAATCCTAAATTATCAATCTCCTTACCTTTCTCTCACCCATTAGTTTACTGAATGCATAGAATATTTTTCTTCCTAAGAATCATGATATCAATTAATTTCCATTAATTTGCATGTAAGGGAATCTACATTACACGATCACAATTTAATTTTAGCTTCATGGACTAACTTCTTTGTCCACATCCATCCATGATGTGGGAATCATTGCCTTTTTAACACTGCATCCAAGTGCTGATGCAGTGACCTTTGCACACTTCTCACTGTATTCAGGTCATACAACGTGTCGCTTCTAAGAAAAATCCTACCATTAATAAAATATATTAAATAATTCATGTCATGATTATCTGATAAGTTTTATGATTCATGTCATGATTATTCGACAAGTTTTACACTAGTTGTCAACTACCTAACTCAACATTTCACTTTTTTCATCAAGACTAGGGACCTAACAATGATAGCATAATAGAAGAATATATCTACTATCTATCTTAATTCAATTTATCTTGATTTAAATATAATAGAAGTGTAAATCATTTATATTTATACAAATATTGTATTTAATATTTATATAAAATTTATTATCTTGGATATAGCATATCATAAATTATTTTTAAATTTTGTTATACATTTTTATTTTTTAAAAGCTTATTAAAGTGCATCATATGCACATACATTTATAGGATTAGAATAAAGAATAACTAAGCAATTATTATATTAAAAATTATAAATAATACTAAATAAATTAAACCAAAGAGGAAAAAAAAAATCCTCCAACGGTCACAAGGCGCGCTTATAACCACCGATATGGACCAATTATGACCGTTACGCCTACGGCTGCCATGTCGTCCCTGTTGTTCAGCCCCAACGGTCCCAAGTTTCGTCAAGCTCCTATGCCCCGCATTCCACAAAACCCTGTAGCCTCCTATATGGCCAACGCGCCCCACCGGCGTCATGGCGGAATTATCGCCGAGCCGGGGCCCCGCTTACAGCCCAGCGAGAAGATATCGCTACACGGACCGCAAAAGCATACTCGGCATCTCCATCTCTGTCCTTCTTCCTCTTGCTTTCCTTTTTTTTTGGGACATTTAGGCCATTTAAGGCAAACTCACACACACAACGCATACACATGGACTCGAACCTTGGACCTCTTAGTTGGAAGCCTAAGCTCTCAACCAATAGGCCAAGGAGAGTTGTAGTCCTCTTGCTTTCCCAATAGAGGCAACGTACAATCTTACAGCTTTGCGCGGGCCCCACTGCTCATCCTCCTCGGTTGTCCCTCGCCCTATCAAAGACGAGACAGTGAAGATTCGGTAGAAAACACCACGTGGACTCAACCTTCGAAGGTTGGTTAAAATACTGGTCTTATTTTGGGTCTTTGAATTTTGAAAATAGTTACACTATGTGGGCCTCGTCCTCACATGGGAGTTTTTATACGAGAGAAAGAAATTCTTTTTTTTATAATTTCGTTTTGATTTAAAGTTAATATTTGCCTTCAATTTTAATAAAAAATTTATAAGAAAATATTCTAATTAAAAATAATCAGAATAATCTTTTAAATTATTTTAAGATGAATGCAATAAAAAAATATCTGTCTCAATCTCTAAAAAAAAATTAATTCAATAAAATAAAATAAATTAAGACTTATGTAAAAATTATTATTTTTTTGGTTAGTTTCATGTTTTATTAAATCTTTACTATTTTAATTTTTCCAAAAAAGCTCCAAAGTTTTTCATTCAATCTCATTTATCTTTTGTAGACAAATTCGATCTGATAAGATTTTTTTTTATGGTAGGAAATTAATTTTTTTATACTTTACTTGGATTCAATCAATAAATCTAATGAGAAGTAAATTATATAATGACTTAAGATTTCATTTGAGGTTGTTTATATCATCCCCATTTTATCATCAGATCTTTAAAACATGTTACTTTTTAATTTTCTATTTTAATTGATCATAAAAGTTTATGAATGTTGCTTGATCAAATTAATTGGATTTGAATTGTAAATTTATTTGAAACTATATCAAGTTAGAAAAATGTGAGCCAATTTTAAAATAAAATCAAATTGAATGATTTTAGATTCTCTTCAATTGGATTTGAAGCCATTTGTTTGATTGTTATGGCATGTTTAAGCAATCGAGATTGAGGAACTCTTTCTTCGCGATCAAAAACATAAAATCATGTTGTTAATTTCATATTTGTATGTGAATAATACCCAATTTTACTAGCAAGCCAGTCTGAAGAGTTGAAAAAGAAACTAATGAGTGAGAATAAAGAGTGACGAGGGAAACTATAGATCTAAAAAAGTATTATTTTCTCTACTAGTTATAGAGATTTTTTTTTGGTGTTTCTTTTAGGGTCCCTTAAATTTGTACACATTATCTCTTATTTATAAGATTCTAGGACTACATGAAAGATAACATACAAAAAAATAGTAAAAATTCAATACTACATATATTACATATACAACACCACATTACAATTACACGTGTGACCCCCTGATTGACGGGAGAGCTAGGATGAAGGATTTATCTCTAGGAGAGTGATGTAGATGGACAAAATGGAGAGTTTGCAAGCTAGAGCAGAGTTGGACAAACTTTGTAGAATGAGATTGATGGGGAGTTGAGGATAATCTATGCTGATTTTGGGCTGTCGTGCACGAGAGAAGTGAGGTAGATGATATTGTGGTCGGTATTGGTAAGGCGAGTAAGGAGCCCTAATTAAAAGCCTTCTATAGCTGCACTTAGAAGAGTGGATAATAGCTCTAAGGTAAGATCTAATGGTTGAGGTAACACTGATCTGCGATTTGATAGCTACATGAATTATCTTTGACTCATCTTATGTGGGATGAGCTCCTTGGTTCTCTTATGGGAGTGATCCCATGAAACTCTTCTTGAGACGAGTATTGTTATGACCCAAAAACCATTTGCTAAAATACCTGTGAAGATATTTATGTATATACACATGTCCTAATAGTTTCTAAGCTTGACATTCTTAAAAAGAATTTATTGAATTAAATAGGATATTGAATCATTAAAACAATCATAACCCCTAAGGAGAAAAAAAATAGCCATTTAATTTATATTGAGAATTGTTCAGAACATAATTTTATGGAGTCTATTTCTTACTTTAGTTTTTAAACCAATCAAATAATTCTGAGATTTATTATTATTAAAATTAGACTACAAATTTTTATCCAAAAAGTTGGCTGACCCCACAATCATTCACTTTGCTGGCCAGACCCGAAGCCGGCTCGCACCGCCAGCCCGAACCAGGTGCCCATGTGAGCCTGGGTCCCACAGCCAGCTGTTGTCCAGCACCGCACGCTCTTGGCCGTTCACACGCTCACATCTTTCCCGTTCTATTTATTCTTTACTTTACCCTCTTACTGTCTCACTCCCATTAACTTGTCTCTCGCACTCGATCGCTTTCTCTCACTCACACAATGGATCTTCGGGCTCTCTTCTTCCTCTCGCTTCTCTCCGTCGCCGCCGCCCAGGCACCCTCATCCTCGCCACCGGCCGCCGCCCCGACAAGAGCAGCCCTCGCACCCGCTTCCCCGATAAAACCAGTGCAAACACCAGGCCCCGCACCCGCTTCCCCGATAAAACCAGTACAAACGCCAGCCCCCGCACCCGCTTCCCCGATAAAACCAGTACAAACGCCAGCCCCCGCACCCGCCGCCCCAAAAAAAGCCGTCCTTGCGCCCTCCCCCGCCGCCGCGGCCACCACCCCAGCACTGGCTCCATCGGTCTCAAAATCCTCCCCTGCTCCTTCCCCTGCCTCAAAGAAGACCACTGCGCCTGCGCCTTCCCTATCCCCTGTTAATGCCCCCGCAGCGAGCCCAGAACTGTCTTCCTCCTCTCCATCCCCCGCCCCCATAAGCTCCCCTCCGGCTCCTGCACCAGCATTGCCGCCTTCAACCACCGCACCTTCCGCCGCTACACCGGCACCGACCATATCCCCACTGCAGCCTGCTGATGTGCCGGCCCCTGCCCCAAGCAAGAAGGGAAAGAAGGACAAGAAGAAAAAAGCCGCTTCTCCGGCACCATCTCACAGTCCAGCCGCAGCCTCCGCCTCTTCATCACCGGAAGCCTCTTCTCCTGGCCCCAGCGCTGCCTCTTCCGCCTCCGACGAAGCGGTATATCCACTATCTCCATTTTTTATCGTTCTTCTATAGTTCCATTGCACTCTCCCTCTCTTTCTTCCAGATCTGCCCAGATCCGAACGTTGCATTTCAAAAAAAAAAGGACCCTAAGAACAGCGGACACGTCTCCTCACATATCCGTTAGATTACCAGCGATATTTTTACCTTTCGTTTTAAATTACATTTTAATTAAATTTCTTCGCAGTAGTTATGCAGCATAAATGTTATATACGGTGCGACGATTTGATTCCATCTTGAAGAGTTGCTTCCGTGACTTACTAGAAAATAATCTTAAACAATTTATTCAATAGCAGTAATGTTCATAATTCTGTAATGCATTTTTTGTTTATTAAATACAAAATTATTACATAATTTATATTTACGATCATATTTTTGTAATTTTTTTACTCTTGGGCTGCATTTTATACTTCTGATTCGAAAAAACAAAAGGAGCTTCTTTTGAACAATTATTTATCTAGATTTTGATTAATTTGAATTTCTTGATATTTACTGAGCTGCAGCTGAGCTATATAATTTACAAGATTTTGTCGGTGGTATAAAATTTCATCCTTTAGATTGCTTTAGAAATTGACACGTGTTCTCAATTTCATAAAACATACAAAATAATTAAAACATATTTTATTTTATTTACCTAATAAACCCTCACGGATTTCGCGCTACAGAAAATGATAAATAATAACTTTTTTTTTCCTTCTTCTGTGGAAACGCAGAGCGGAGCAGAGAAGATTATGACCGCGACTAAGCTGGTGGGAGTTATTTCAGCGTGGGCAGTACTACTGGCAGTGATCGCCATATGAGATCAGATCGGCGACGCCCATTAAATTAAATATATAAATTCCGCTACTTTGTATTTTGTCCTCTGTCTCTCTCTCTCCAGCTGTAATTTTTGTTTGGTATTTTGTGGTGGTCCATTCTTGTACGGGATTGGAGTTGTAAACTTCGCATTCACTTTGGATTCTTTTCGTGGAGAGGTCTCTCTGTTTAATACCATTTGTTTTATTAATCACGAAATTAATTTAGGTGGCTTCTTTTCATTAAATGGCGTAAAGGCTTTATTCTTATATTTTTCTTTGATGCCTGACTTGTTAATGAAGACTTGTGGTAAAGCCGGATAAACCAGAATAGGGTCATTTCGAACCGCTTTAATGTAGCTTGATTTTGAGCTAACTCTAATTTGAATCTAGCCTGCTAATTTTTAAAATATTAAATTTGCTTATGTAATTATGATATACATTTCTTCTTTGGAGCACCAATGGTGTAAACATCAGATGTTTGTCGTCCCATAGGATGGCAAATGTGGCTCTAATATAAGCGAAGACATTAAAGGGAGTGCGAGCGTGCGTTTGTGGTGGCTAGGACTCGAGAAAAAAGGAAGAGAAAGAGAAGGGATTAGAATATACAAATAAGCGATTAAAATTTGTAGTTTACATCCATTGCACCACAAGGAGAATTCTACTATGTAGGAAGAGAGATTATTGTGTGCAGACACTGGACGGAATAAAACCGTCCAGTTTTCTGTCTACAGTAAAAACATAGTCCAAAAATTGGACGATTCTCTTCGTCCAACGTCCACACACAATAAAAAGTCATAGGAAGAACAGGACCATGTACATCATATTAGGAAATTCCAATATTTCTAAAGGGAAAAGGACTCGATGCAGAGGAAATAAAAGAAGAAAATCTTGATATGAATCCAATACCATAGATATACCTATTAGTAGGCAAAATAAAATGATCCTCTTAACTATTCGAGATATATGTCATAATGGTCTATGCGAGACATGGAAGCCCATTTTACCTTATGCATGATGAAGGTCAAGTATTAGAGATATATGTCATAATGGTCTATTCGAGACATGGATGCCCATTTTACCTTATGCATGATGAAGGTCAAGTACGAAGAATATGTAGCACTACCTAATTGGAACGAACATTTAGTGTTCTAGTAAGAGGCGTAGGCAACCTTACGGGAGCCTAATCTTGGTGTCCTTAAGAGGGCGAATTATTCCGTCCGATCACCGGACCATTCGGACACCAATCCAGACGCGCCACGTCACCCGGATACAATCAGGGCCCAATGTATCTGGGTGACGTGGCGCATCTGATTGATGTCCGGACGAATCCAGACACCAGACGTAATAATTTTCCCCTTAAGAGCCACCAATTAAATGCGACCTTCTATGACTAAGAACCACCGGATAATAGTAAGAAATTGTCAGTTAGGAATGCATCGAGCAATAAACAAAAACTTTGAATTATCAGGCAAGTGCGCAATGATAAGAAGGCGTTAGGCACCAACCAACGCCAATTAGGTGCTCCTACACTAGAAAGTAGATGCCGAAAAAAACTTATTGAGGGTTGTCGAGCTAGTAATATTTGAAAAGAAACTTGTTGGCTACAAGTTATTGGTGTTGAATCGTTGGCAACAAGCCAACAAGAGTGATTAGTAGGGGTGCAAATGAGTCTAGCTCGAGTCAGGGGGTGTTCGAGTCAAGCTCGACTGTCAAACACTGAGTTCGAGCTCGACTCGGTGGAGGAAAAAAAAAGCTCGTCAAGCTGCTCTAGTGGAAGTTCGAGTCCAGTTCATCCGTCGTGCCAGCACCAGCCCCCAACATTCAGAAGAAGATTAAGAAGAAAACATTAATGAGGAAGAAGAAATGACCACCCTTCTTGTTTGATGTAGCCCTTGTTTCTCGTTAGCGATTTCATTTTTCCACTGGAAATTTCATCCGCAAGCTACTCGACAAGCTCATGAGTCGAGTAGTGGGCTATTCGAGCTCGAGCTCAAAATCGTGTTCGAATTTGACTCACGAGCTTGATAACCTCGACTCATTGAGCATGTTACCAAGTCGAGCTCGCGAGCCGACTTAACACGGTTGCACCCCTAGTCATAAGCACTGAGCCATAAGAGCTAAGCCTTATAGTTGGAGGTGTCAGGTTGGTACTAGGGTATCAACTTTGGCTAGCCTCATGGGCTCTTCATGACATTTGACTTTTCAAAGGGAGCAAACTCATCCTACAATATATACAATTCTAATGGAGTGCCAAAAAAGAAAATAATGAGACATCACACATTTTTAAATTGCTCCATGGGTCATAAGTGAATCGAGTTGAGTATTATCTTGTTCATGCTATTATTTATTTATTTTCTTACTTAGTTTGAGCCAAGCTTCAATGTGATTTGAATTTTAAAATCTTGCTCAAGTTTATTTATTATTGAGCCATAATCAAACTTTAACTATTAATATATTTGATGCTAATGATTTAAACATATTGATTTATTATAAGATTTAATTAAAATTGACATAATTTAGAATGTATCATTTAAGTTACTTGATAAAGCTTAACTATAATTAACAAAATAAGTATTATCTCACTACTTATGTAAATTTTATATTTATAAGATTTAGAAAAACATATACAAAAATACAAAATAAATTATTAAATAAAAATTAAGGCTTCGTTTGAAATAACTTTCTTACTACTTTATAAACCCTTGAATTAAAAAATTTTGTACAAAAAAGCTGCTTTAAAAAGCAGTAAGAAATTTGTCCCAAACTACGCATAAGACATCATTAAATGAATAATTTAGAGAGATCTTAATAAGCTATTTATTTAAGTGTGCTAAGCACAATGAATCATTAACACCTAGGTTGTGAACATGAGGCACTCAAATTTACCCTTAGTTGAAGTTTCCTAAAGAAACCTCTTCATCACAATACTTTTTCCAGGTGTTTGCTCATAATTAGTATTAATCAACCTTTAAAACAGAATAAGCAATTGAAATGAGGTGTTTTCATTGGTTTAACTAATTGAGATAATAGCTTAGTCAAACTTAATTAAATATTTAATGCATTTACTAAGTTTTTCTACTGAGCCTAATCTATGTTTTCCATATTTCTTAAAGTTATCATACAGAATTTTATTAAAAAAATAACGGGATGGATTCAACTTGCTTACCTAATCAAATCCAACTCATTACTATATTTCTTCATCCTGGAAGAACTTTCCATGGAGAAAATCACTTCAAATTTCTTTCTCCTGGCATCATGAAGACGCACAATCAGGCCTTTCTTCCCCTACACACACAAATACACTTGTAAGATAAAATCCCTTTAAAAAGGACAAAACTTAAACTAAAAGTAATATGAATAGGCACACCATTTTTAACTAATAGAAACACGCCATGAACACAAATAGCCCCATGAATTTAACTTTTCAAATACTGGTTAGACGAACTAAGTGAACTGACAAAGATCTATGGACTTGTTTATCATGTGAAAATGATCTATTAACACAATATTTTAGCCAGTTAAAGCTGGGTCAAACTCAGGTTTGAAACTGCCATGTGGTACAAGAACATGCAACATCAACCTAATGGGTCCAACCAAATTAAAGCAACCAACAAACCCGAGGACATGTTGGTCCAACTTCATCAAAGCAGACTAATAAGATTGCCAAGTTTCAGCTTTGGTTTTGTCACATTACCGAATTCAAACAGCTTCAAAAATTGTAAATGTACCTGGGTTAAAACAATTCAATGCCCAAAATGTACCAAACATGTACTGATAGAGATTTATTTTTTGTTTTGCAATAGTACTTACAAAATATGTGGAGTAAATTTGAGTAATCTTACATTAAATATATTGATATAATAGCTAAAATGATGTTTTTGATGCAATCCCTTGACTACAACACCTCATTTTCATGCTCAATCTTAGAAAAAATATGTGCATAACAATGGAAAATGTCACATCGACCAAATTCCTTGAAACCTCATAAAAAAATGACAAATTATTGAACCCAGTTAAGGGCACCTATCTCAATGACATCTCTGGATAGTTCATCCACCCTAAGTGCTCATCCTCATCACACCATGATCCTTCAAACTCCTGCCAACAAAGCGAAGTCTTAGGCTTCGGATAGTTTTTTTGTTGTTTCTTAAAGCAACTTTTTAGTACAAAAATAATATTTTTTATAATAGAAAGCTGCTTTAAGAAGCAACAAGAAAGTCGTCCCAAATGAAGCCTTAGGTTTCGTTTGGGACAGCTTTCTTCTTACTTTTAAAACAACTTTATAGTACAAAAGTTTCTTAAATTTGAAATTTTTGTACTGAAAAGCCGTTTTAAAAAGCAGTACGAAAGCTGTCCCAAACGAAGCCTTAGTCTTAGCATTTTACTCCCTTTTGATTGACCTTCCTCTTGCACTGCTACTTACCTACACCATTGTTCTTGCTATAAGCTGGTGGCTGCCCATAGAGTAACCTCTACTGGCACTACTATCAACAAATACAATGACAAGCTCGACAACTCTATTAAGGTTCAACTAGCTACCCTTCAATACCTCCACCACTTGTGAACCGACAATGCTCTTGCTTGATAAACCTCTTGGAACCTCCTATAATTTCTCAATCAGCAACTATGTTTCATTACCCTTCTAGCCCTCTCTTCTAAGAGAATCTAAGCATAGTCTTCCAATGACAACCATCACCAACAACACTTCATCTTTCATAAATGAAATTGGGGACACACCCTCTATAAGCTTTAACAACTTCTAGGCGTGGTCTCAATCGAGATGCCTTTGCTGAAGAACCTGCATGGGAAGAAACCTCTTATGTCCCAAATGCTTTTCTTGTCCTGTTATAAAAATATACACTAAAGAAAACCATTGAGGCCATTACCCTCTTCACCACTCTATCAAGGCAAATGAGGAGCTCCACCGTATTACAATTTATTTGGACTTCATTCCCTCCAATTTGAAGGAGAAATTGTCGATCACTTTATGCATTTTATTTGCCAATTACTAAAAAAAGATTGAAAAGCAAAAAAATGAGAGTTCTACATTTTAAACATTTATTTCATATAATTTAAAATGAAGGAAAAAGTGCTGCACCTCATTTTACCCACTTAATCCAAGAGCATTCACGAGTTATTAAAATGAAGCATGACCAAAATGGTCAGATTGCTTGGATCCTCATCGAAAGGACTAAATTCCTATAAGTTACTTAAGAATGCCCAATTTGTAAACCATATCATAGCA